TGTTTCTTTGAATGGGGGTGTGTGTGTGTGTGTGTGTGTGTGTGTGTGTGTGTGTGTGTGTGTGTGAGTGTGCGTTGGTTTGTTTCAATGCGGGCAAAAACTATTAATTTATGATAAAACCAACCAAAATGTGGGGGGGTTTTCCCCTTTATTTTCTCTTTTTTCCTGGAGCGTGGAGTTTGCTTCTTTGTTTGAATTCTGAATTAATGTTAGTGAAACCATAACCTATAACTGGTGTCCGGGATCTAGCGGTTAGATGCTTCACTGTCGCACACAGGGGATCCAAGTTTGAATCCTGAGTGGGGAGAATTTTTATACAGTATTGTAGCCTTCATGTATTATGTCAGTCTTTCTGTTTGGATATTGTATCCTTCTCAGCCTGGGTTCGTCCTGACAGGTACAGTCGAAAGCCCACCTCCTGATTGATCTAAATTGTGCAGCTGAAGGCGTAAAAAAAAGCCTTCATTGAGAAACATATTTTTTCCAATCACTCTCTCTCTCTGGGTGGTTGGTGGGTGCTCTGGTGTGGTTTGCTTCTTCTTTCCTATCAAACATCTATCGTCCCTATCTCCCCTCCTTCTTTTTTGTGTTTGTTAATCTCTTGTAACACCTCTAATCTTCGGCACTTATATGACCTTTTTGTGTTGCAAGTGCCGTAAAACACTTATTAAAACTAAAACTAACTCTGTCTCTCCAGATTTTCTTTGGCTCATGCGGTCTCCAGCGCTGGCTGCTGTACAGTGTGTCCGCCATTGTTCCTGTCATTCCGTCCCCGTCTGCCAGTGTCGTGGTGGGCGTGAGAGGGGCGGCCTCTGACCTTGACCTCTCGCTGCCTGAGGGCGACCACAAGGACCCTCCGCTGGTCATCACCTCGTCACGTGACACAGCAGACGGCCCGGGCCGGGCCAGGAAACAACACCTGTGGCTGGACATGGCCCGGATTCTGGATCGTCTGTTCTTTGTTATTTTCACGGTTATCGCCCTTTTCACCACCATCAGTCTCTTGTCCTGAACAATGCCGTTTAGTTCATTTCACGGTTATTGCCCTTCTCATCACCAAAACGTGTTTTTTATACTGAACTATGTAACTTTTTTATTTTCACGGTTGTCGCCCCTTTTCACTACACAAAGACTTGGTCTTTTGTCCTCTTTACGTAAATTACAGCATGTTCTGACACAATAAAGTTCAGTTTCCCAGCATGTTTTTTCTCTAGAAGAACCAGCAGGACAACAGCCCTCCACAACACATTTCGTCTGGTATTACTCTTTGTTTTAGCTTTAGTAAGAGTTTTTTTTTATGGCACTTGTAATACAATAAGGGTATATGAGCCAAAGATTAGAGGTGTTACAAGAGAGTAACAAACACAAAAAAGGAGGAGAGATAAGGACGACAGAAGTTTGATAGGGAAGAAAAAGCGAACCAAACCAGAGCACCCGCCAACCACCCACATTCGTCTTGTCTTCTTGGACATAACAGAAACCTCGAGTGGACGTCAACACTAGCGTGAATATACGTCATGTTGTCATTTCACGTTGTTCTGTTGAGTTCCTGGGTGCGAATAAAGGAAACGTTTCATGATGAGTGGACTTTCTTCTTTCGAACTTTAAATTGTTTCTTCGTTGTTGTAGGGGCAGCTTATATATGTGAAGGGTGCTGACTAAATGAGTTACTTCTCGGATTCGAGCCCTATGAAAATCGCTACATCACGCTTATCGGTGAAGTTTTTACAATTTATAACTAGGAAATAATATAAGGCATGCTTTACTTAAAGGTTATGACATCAATAGAAAATCTACAAATTTGACCCAGGTGTTGCTTTTGGGCTAATATCTCCATTTGTGGATTGTGAGAAGTAACTCATTTTGTCAGCACGCCTCACATATTGTATTCCAAAATGTATGAATATCTGTTTGTGTACCTGAAGAAAAGGTCCCAGATGTTGTCAATATGTCAAAGCCATTTTTGAGCAACGGGGTGAAATGGCCACCAAAATAAAAGGCGTACCTGGTCAATAATGTAATTCCACTAGAAAACACATGTTTAACCATTTCTTAATAACATGTTGAAAGGATTTTATAACATTTTAAGTCTTAATAATATTTCTATTACTTATTTTTGAAACATGTACTTCAGCAAAGATTAAAATGTGCTTGAAATAGGTTTTTCTCCAAACTTTTTTTAACACTCCATGTATTACAAAACGTGGCATTTCTGTAAAACTACCTACTCAAGATATTTGAAACATGTCAAAAATCAGCGTGTTCGGCACTGAATTGGATGCAAGAATTTTCCCATTTCTTAATATTTGTATGTTTCTCTAGTTAGTAGTAACACCCTTTATCTTCGGCACTCACATGATCTATTTGCGTAGCAAAAGCTATAAAACTTTTTACTAAAACTAAAAATAGACATACTGTGTAGTTTGCACATAGGGAACAAATTTTTAGAAAACAATTTTTTTTCTTGTGCATGTATGTATTTCCTTTGTATTTAAAAAAACTTTAAGTTTTAGTTTTAATAAGATTTTACGGCGCTCGCAACTGCATTAAAAGGTCATATGAGCGCCAAGGGGTGGATGTCAACTGTGCCTGAACTGCAACAGAGAACTGTTGCTTTTTCTTTCCTATCCGATTTTTTCTTTATATCATTAGTAATATTTGCCTTTCTATAAAAAACGACAACTCTCCATAACGACATTTTTTCTAGTTATTTTTAGTAGAGGTTTTACGGTGTTCGCAACTGCATAAGGTCATATGAGCGCCAGAAGATTTGAGGCGTTACAAGAGAGTAACAAACATAAAAAAGAAGAAGGGGAGATAAGGACGATAGATGTTTCATAGGAAAGAAGAAGCATACCACACCAGAGCACCCGCCAACCACCCACGACATTTTTTCTGGTCCCGACGATGTCGTTATAGAGAGGCTGCTCTGTACAAACAACCAACCAGACGAACAAACAAAGAAAAGCAGGAAAACACTGGAGTGGTCGGCAAAATCTGCCAGTTTCTTCCACTTTACTGGCCAAAGAGAAGTTGACCATCACATAATGGAACTTCCAATTTTATAGAGTACAAAATCAAAAGCTCTGGACCAATTCGAACAGGAACAAGGATTCTCCGACACTTGAAACCAACTTCATTAAAAAATAAAAGTACATTTGTGTCAAGACACGGTGGAATCAGGCACTCATCAAGTTTTGGGTGAAGGAGGAGGGTGGGGGGGGGCGGGTGGGGGCAGTCCCCTGGTGTTAGAGGAAAAAGTAGCAAGAAAATGGACGCTAAAGTTGGTACATGTAACTTCCAACGCTTGAGTGTTCCTGAAAACTGCAAATGTACATTTTTTTTTTTGGTGCCTTTGATCAATGTTTTTCAGAAAAATCCACACAAAAGTGTGTTTTTAAATCACCATAAAAAGTGTTTGGCTGCCCCCTCCCCCGCAAAAGAAAGAAAAACCCCCCCAACAAAATAATCAATAAAATAGTCTCGACTTAAGTATACTTTTAAAAAAATTGTTTCTCAATTGCCCAACAAGCATAAAAAATTCGGTTTCTTTGATTTAATTATTTTGATGAGCGCCTCATTTCACCACGATGCCACGCATTCTTAGGACAAATGTTGGGATGAACAAAACACAGAATATGGCGCAGGCAAAAAGCATTACAAGTCATATTGAGTATCTGAAATGTTTTCCCCACTCACTTCAAGTTAATAAAAATGTCCATCAGTTTGAAGGTATATCAACAAACACTGAAAAGCCAAACCAGGGAATAAAACGAAGTAAAAATCAGTTTTAAAATAGGCCCCTTCATTAAAAAGAATTAATTTTTAAACTGAATCCTGAAAATATTCTTCAGCATCATTCCAAAATAAGGATGTGGATGGGGTGGGGGGTGGGGTAGGTGGGGGAGGGGTGGAAGATATAAATACTGGCCATCAAAGCATACACATATATACAAAATGTGGGTACAGGTGAGACCAGGTGAGCACACACATCTGGTCTCCTCTCTCACGGACCCACACATCTAGTCAAGGTCCTACAACACATACACGCCCCCCCCCCCCATTCACACATACACACACACCCTCACACTCACACATATACACTTACAAATACACATACGCACATGCATAACACAAACACACACACACACACACATATAACACACACAAAAATGTTTTCCTCTTTCTGAAAAATTTTGTTATCTGGGCATAGACCATCAAACAGCTTGCTGACAATACATTATTATATCTCCAGCTAATGTGCTGGCGGAGCGGCACGCGCTGAAATAACTGAGCCAGACAGACAGATGTGGGCTTCCACTGTTCCCAATTCATTTCCCCTATTCTGAACATGCAGTGTAAGCACCTGATCCGGTGTCTGTCGTAAATGTCGAACCAAGTTTTAATGGTCACTCATATTGAGTGAGAGAAAACAGTATGATCTCAAGTTACAAAACTGTTCGGAATTTCAAATGCGCATGAGAAGCTAGTTAGTTGACACACATCTGTAAGCCCGTCAGACAGCACGGAGCCCTCGCGCTGGTTCATGTTACGTCAATAAGAAGAGTTGTCCTTGAGTCTTGAGTCCTCACATTAGCTGTGCCTGTGTGTGTGTGTGTGTGTGTGTGTGTGTGTGTGTGTGTGTGTGTGTGTGTGTGTGTGTGTGTGTGTGTGTGTGTGTGTGTGTGTGTCCATTGGTATGTCTGCATGCACTTATGTGTGGAAGGAGGGAAGGTGGGAGAAGGACAATGTTTCCAACATCAAATCTGTTGATGTAAATTTTAAAAATAAGCAAACATTCTAAATGCTGGCTTGCCTCTTCCTCCAACCACACTTCCCTGCTTGGATCTAACACATGTGCAAACAACAAACAATTATATTATACATTCACACAGATATATTGCAGACAAAAGTCATATTGAAAACATTATTTATTAAGTTGAAGCTGAACGACTTTATACTTTATAAAAACATTCTAGATAAACAAACAAACACATTCTTAGGACATAGATCAATAAACAAACAAACACATTCTTCTGACATAGATAAATTAACAAACACATTCTAAGGAACTCAGTAACTGACGGCAGCTGATGACAGATAATCCAACAGGAATCTGTCTTCTCATGTCCACCAGTAACTGACAACCTCAATCTCTTTTTTAAAAAAGCAGAAACACTTTTTGTCAACCTGCTGTTCAGATATATGTACTAAGCCACCAATTTGGAACATTAAAACATTTTTTTCCGCAGTTCTTTTTACCTGGGGTATCGGTCGCATATATACCTGATAAATATTTGGTCAAAACTCAAATCCTAAATGTCGAAAAGTTTGAAATGTTAAATAATGTAGAGATACAGTTGTTAATTAAACAAATTTTAAAAAAATGTTTCCTCTCTTCTTGAAAATTTGGCTGTATAGGCTTTTAGGACATTTGAACAGCTCGTCGACGGTTTGTTCCAAGGACAAGACAAAAAGTTTTATGTACAGTTCAGCATTGTCACAAGAACGGTCACACAAACAAGCACTGAAAAAAGTGTCCTTTAAAAAGAAAAAGAAAAGTGAACCCTCCACCCCCACCCCCCTTGCAAGCTAAGTTCAGTTTGCAAGGCAAGCCAACTGGCCAACAGAGGAGGAAAGTGAGTCAGGAGGTCACCTGTCAGAGGTTAACTTTGGGGTGAAAGGTCTTATTAGGTCTATCCCATCCCTTCACGGCTCCTGTACTGTACATTATGATAGCTATTCTGCCTTCTCTTTTCCTGCCATATATCTTAATTTTTGTTAGAGTTTTACAGCACTTGCAACGCAAACAGGTCATACAAGTGCCGAAGAATAGAGGTGTTCCTGGAGAGTCCCCTACAAAGTAAAGAGTGAGGGGGAGACAAGAACAGTGGATGTCCGATTGGAAAGGAGGAGCAAACTACAGTACAGCGGAGCACCCACCAACCACCCACATCCAAGCTCTATCTCAATCTGACACAGGACGGACCAAACTGTCACAGGGACAGCACTCAGTTCACCATCCCGATACAAAACTCGCTAAAAAGGAAAGCATCAATAAGGTACAGCGGAACCTGTTGTAACCGCCACCCTGTCCAAGACAATCCTCTGTACAAGAGACCTCTTCCCACCTTATTTCAACTTCAACTGTATTTTTGAAGAAAACAGAAGATTCAAACCTCTACCATCCACTGTTTCATCAAATTTGTTATTATAATAAAAGGCAACACAACCGGCAGCTCTTGCCTACACAGACAGAAGAACCAAAAGAAAAAGGTTGACCTACAATACAAGGAGTATGTTCAATAAACGGTAGCGGTAAGAAAAAAGAAACATGAAATGCCATCATATCAAAAGACTGTTTAAAATTGTTACCTATTTTAACCTGTCACACCTGTCTCTTTTTCTCTCTCTCTCTCTCTCTACCCGCCACCCCTGTCTCTCTCGGTCTGTCTCTCTCACACCCAGGGGAAAAACACACACACATGTACACACAAACAAACACACACACACACACAAGCACACACAAACACACACACACACTGGGTACACAAAAATGCCACACAGACTCCACATATCTCT